TGCTGGGCTCTACGAGTGGGGCAGAGGAATCGAACCTGGGTCAGCCAGGTCGGCCGCATGCAAGGCAAATGCCCTACCACTGTGCTATCACTCCAGTCAATATATTGATATTATAAGTTTATGAGAGAAAGAAATGCTGTGATTTTCTTGTGGTGGCTTTGGGAACTCGTGATGTCAAAGCATCCCACCGAATCTATGAGTTGCAGCAGGGCTGATTCTGGGTGTCACTGGGTTTGAGGAAACCCTCCTCAACACACTTCTCTGGCTCCTTAATTTTTCCATAAGGAACTCACTGGTTGGCTGTTCACCAGAAGCTGGTGATTGATAGAAACTCAGGTATTGTTGCCAAGTTTAAGAGAAATAGCACTGTAGCACTGTCCTCCTGTTGTTCATCAATTTGCTCGAGCGGGCACCAGTAACATCTCCATTGTGAGACTTGTTGTTACTGTTTTTTGGCATATTGAATATGCCACAGGGAACTTGCCAGGCTCTGCTGTGTGGGCAGGATACTCTCAGTAGCTTGCCAGCTCTCCAAGAGGGACAGAAGAATCGAAACTTGGTCGGCCGTGTGCAAGGCAAATGCCTTACCTGCTGTGCTATCACTCCAGCCCTTAAGAGAAATAAGGTAAAGAATTGGTTGTCATCTGGGGAACATAAAATAACAAAATAGGAGATTAATACCCAAGAATAGCCGAGACCAGTACCAGTAGGATTACTCCATGGCTTAGAGGCCAGCCGGGCATGCTAGAGGAAAGGGCAGCTCAGATAGAGAAGGGAGCACCAAATAAAGGGTGTTTGGAGGATCCTCCCAGGATGGGAGATGCATGTTGAAAGTAGACTATGGACCAAACATGATTGCCACTCAATGCCTCTTTTGCAGATCACAACATCCAAAAGAAGAGAGAGAACAAAAGGGAGTGCCCTGCCACAGAGACAGGGTGGGATGGGGGGGATGAGGGGGATGGGGGTGGGAGGGATACTGGGATCCGTGGTGGTGGGAAATGGGCACTGGTGGAGGGTTGGGTATTTGATCATTGTCTAATCAAACCTCAAGCACAAAAATTTGTAAGTCTACAACTGTACCTCATGGTGTTTCACTAATAAAAAAAAAATAGAACTGGTTGTTAGTAACCCTGGTCTCAGGAGTCAAAGCTCATGATTCTAGTGCTTTTATTTTGGATGGGGATGGGGTGATCTCAGGAGTGATTGGCATGGACTCAGTGGTCCTTCTTGGGGCTGAGCTACAAACACTTTAAGCCCTGTACTCTCTGTGGTCCCCTCTCCTTTGGATTTTTAATCTGTGCCTTTTGTGCAAGCATTGTGAAGAAATAGAGTGCCAGGGAGTAGGGCTGAAAACTCAGCATTGAGCTGCATGAAAGAGGTTGAGGAGCAACAGAAGCGAAGTGGAAGCGATTTCTAGGACTCTTGGTGCTTCGGGTGGTTCCCGGAGGCAGCATTGCAGCAACGCTGCAACGGCAGTAAGAAGAGAGATGGTGAGCTCTGGACTCCCATTTCTTGGCATTTTGGTTGCCAGGAGAGCAAAATCCTTTCAACACTGGAAGAAATGACAAGCTCAGGAGGAAAAAACAGTTTGCTTTTACTCCAGATGGGAGATGAGAACATAAAGAAACAAAGCCTACTCTCTCTCTCTCTCTCTCTCTCTCTCTCTCTCTCTCTCTCTCTCTCCCTGAGTTTTTTGGCTTTTTTTGGTTTGTTTGTTTTTTTGGAGCTGTCCCTGGTGGTTCTCAAGGATCACTCCTGGTTCTGCACTCAAGGAATCACTCCTGGCAGTGCTCAAGGGACTGTGTGGAATGCCAGAGATGGAACCCAGGTTGGCTGCTTACACTTCACTCAGACCCCACAGAGATTTTTTTGTTTTATTTTTTAATAGTATTTGTGTTTTTATTTCTTTATCCACATTAAAAAATTTAAAGCACTGTGATTTACAAAGTGATTCATAGTTGAGTTTTGGACTCCATATTGCAGCATTGGTCCCACCATCAGTGTCAGCTTCCTTCCACCAATATTCCCAGGTTTCCTCCCATTCCCCCCTCCATCTCCTGATTCCAGTATGCCCTCTTGACAGGCACCTTTCTAAGTTCTGTTGTTAAAGTTTGGGTCTCTTGATTTCAGTGTGGGCTGGAGCGATAGCACAGTGGTAGGGCGTTTGCCTTGTACGCGGCCCATGCGGCTGACCCGAGTTCGATTCCTCCACCCTTTCCAGAGAGCCCAGCAAGCTACCGAGAGTATCTCGCCCACACGGGAAAGCCTGGCAAGCTACCTGTGACGTATTTGATATGCCAAACACAGTAACAACAAGTCTCACGATGGAGACGTCACTGGGCCTGCTCGAGAAAATCGATGAACAACGGGAGGACAGTGACAGTGATTTCAGTGTTGTTGATGCCGTGGTTTGGATATTTGGCTCTATCATGCCTTCATACCATCTTTGTACCTGGCTCCCCTGACCTGGTCCATTGCTTCTCATCTGTCTCTTCTCCTCCTCTCCTCCACCCTTTTTTTCCTCCCCCTCCCTATACTCTGGGGTCAAGTTTAATCAGGGCATCCCCTATTTCAACCACTGAATTCCCTCATCCAGTTCTTCTAAATACCACATAGAAGTGATATCCGGTGTTTATCCTTCTTCTGGCTTACTTCATTTAACATGATGGCTTTTGGTTCCATCTATGATTTTGCAAATTGCGTGATTTCATCATTCCTTATAGCTGTTTAGTATTTCATTGTGTATATATACACCACATCTTCATGATCCACTGATCTGTCATTGGGCATCTAGTTTGATTTAAATCTTAGCTGCTGTACTGAGCGCTGCAATGAATAATAGTGTGTATATATTCTTTTTGAATGAATGTTTTTCTGTTCTGGGGATAGATAAGCAAAAAGTGGAATTGCTGGGTCACGTGGAAGCTCAATTCTGAGTTTATTGAGTACCCTTCATACTGTTTTCCATAGGGCTGGACCAGACAACATTCCCACAAGCAGTGGATGAAGGATTCACCACATACCCGTTAATAGTTCCCAGTATTTTTGTATGTGCCATTCTCATTGGTGTAAGATGCTATCTCATTGTTGTCTTGACTTGTGTTTCCCTGATAATAAGTGATAATGAGCATTTTTTGCATGTGCCTATTGGCCATCTGTTGGTCTTCCTCAGAAACGTGTCTGTTCATTTCTTCTCCCCATTTTTGATGGGGCTTTTAGATATTTTCTGTTGGTTGGTCTCTGTGAGTAACTTATATATCCTGAATATCAATCTTTTATCTGATGTGTTGAGTGTGACTATTTTTCCTGTCAGCTGTTATTTTAGCCCATGTTTCTTTTGCTTAATGTAGTTTAGTGTAGCCCCATTTTCTTGCTTTTTTTTTTGATTCTGTTTAAGTCTGGCAACGGCATTGTATCATTGTAGACTCTTTCAAGATGTAGCCCTTGGAGCATTCTGCCTATATTTTTTCAATGTGCTTTATAGATTCGAGTCCGATTTTATGGTCTTTGATCCACTTTGAGTTGACTTTTGTGTAAGGTATGAGTTATGAATCCAGACAAAAATCTTTTTTAAATAAGGGCTTAAACTCTTGCCTTATATGAGTTAATATATGGTCATCTCTGGGGTCTGTTTCTTCTGGAGTTTTGAGTTGTTTCCAGATTGGCAACCCTGCTTCCAAGGCCATATCTGAGGCCAAAAGTGTCCTAGGACTGTCAGCCTGCGATAGGCAGAATAGGGCAAAGGAGTGAGGTTCTGATTGAGGGGGGAGTCAGTCCAAAACACAGTCAGGTGTAAACTCAGCCCCTTTCTCCCCTAAAAATTATTTAAGTCTGGAAGAAGTTTGTTTTTTTGCTCCTTTTTAAGTGCACACCCAAAACTTCTCACACGGCTTTGTGGGTCACCAGTGGTGAGCATTTTATTCCAAGTTTGGATATTATTATTGAAAGCTACTCTGTGTAATGTTCAACTGCACTTTGCTAGACCCTTCTGAGAAAGAGTGGACCTCAATTTGAACTTGCTTGGCCTACCCTTCCTTTTTATAGGCAAAGTGTCCTGGTGGGTCATTCCAGGGCCCAGAAGAGCTGGAAAGAGGGCATCATCTGGGGCTCTGAGGTAAAAATCTACCCTCAACCCCCTTGTCACTGAAAGAGAAATGTGTTACAAAGCTTCCCCTTGTACTAGGTTTTCTACCAGAATTTGGGGATAAATCTCCCAAAGTGATTGACCGACAGACTCAGTCAACTCACGAAGAGGTTTAGTTCAGTCTGCAACCCATGCCTGGTTGAACTCTAGCACACAGGAGTCTTGATTTGGAACTGGAAGGGCAGGTGCACACAAACCTCTTTCTAGAGCATTCTGAAGTCTCTGCAAGGCAAATTCCAGTGAATAGTCAAAAGTATTTAGATAAAATATCTATCTCCTCTCCCATGCACTAGCTTCATTGTCTGAAAACAAAGAGACAAAAGAAAGAAAGAAAGAAAGAAAGAAAGAAAGAAAGAAAGAAAGAAAAGAAAGCCTGGCAAAGGGACAAGCTTGGGAAAATTGTTTTAGAGGCCCATTGTGTTCAGGTGGTGTGTAGGGCCACTGTAAACAGAGAGTAGTGAGCAGGAAATCAGACCCTATTGTAGGGCCATTAAATGGATGTCTTTTCAACGACACAGATAGCTATCAGCTCCCAGCGGCCAACTTCTGTTCCTTTCTCTGTGGTCATTTCCTTTCCACTGGCCGGCTGGAAGAACCACCCACTCGGGTGTTTTCTCAGGATTATAGGTTTTTAGGTCAAACAGAAACACCGGCGGGCGCCTGACGGAGCCAAGCATAGACCTGCATTCCGTGTGAGCCGCTGGTGGGCCCCGACGGCTGCTGTGCCGGAGTTGGTGGAAACCCTCATTGCCTGGTTGCCCACTGCCCCCCGGGGAGCTGACCACCAGGGCTCTCTCTGCCCGCAGCTGCTGTGGGCTGGAAGCGACGGGCCAGGGGGGCCAAGCAGCTCAGGATGGACGAGACGCAAGAGCCACTGGTCCTGACCGTGCACCTCCTGGCCAACGCCGGGCAGGGCGCGCTCCTGCAGCAGAGCCTGGACCAACTCCTGAGCTGCGTGTGCCCCGAGCTGCGACTCTTCCTGGTGTCCGAGAGAGCCAGCCCGGGGAAATCCGACGACAAGAGTCACTCCAGGCGGTCGCGCTTCCCGGGGACGTCGGTGCTGCTCTTCCTGCGCCAAAGCCTGGGCGAGGAGCACCTGTCGCGCGTGCTGGGCTCGCTGCGGCGCTGGCCGTGGCAGGCGCGACCGTGTCGCCCGTCCATCCTGGCCAGCCAGGACTTCTACAGCCTGGACCCCCAGCTGCCTGTTTGGGGCGTGCGGCAGGTGCGAGGCGGCGCCGAGATCCTCAGGGTGACGCTCTACTGCAGCTTTGACAACTACGAGGACGCCGTCCGGCTTTATGAGATGATTCTGCAGAGGGATGCCACAGCGCACAAGAGCGACTTCTGTCTCTTCGTGCTCCATGCCACCGAGCGCTGGGTTCTGCAGCTGGCCCTCAAGCAGCTGCCCCTCGGGGTGGCGGTGGACCCCAAGGAGTCGTCTGTGCTGCAGTTTCGAGTGCAGGAGATCGGCCAGTTAGTGCCCCTACTCCCCCATCCCTGTGTCCCCATCAGCCGCACCCGGTGGCAGACGCAGGACTACGATGGCAACAAGATCTTGCTTCAGGTAATTCTATGTTGTCACCGTCACTGTCACAGTCCTCCCATTGTTCATCGGTTTGCTCCAGCGGGCACCAGTAACATCTTCACTGTGACACTTGTTACTGTGTTTGGCATATCAAATATGTTATGGGTAGCTTGCCAGCTTTGCCGTGACAGCGAGATACTCTTGGTAGCTTGCCGGGCTCTCCGAAAGGGGTGGAGGAATTGAACCTGGATCAGCCGGGTTGGCCGCATGCAAGGCAAACGCTCTCCCCGCTGTGCTATCGCTCTGGAGTGATAGTACAGTGGGTAGGGCATCTGTCTTGCATACAACTGACTCCAGTTCGATCCCCGGCATCCCCTATGATCCCCCCAAACACAGCCAGGAGTGATTCCTGAGTGCAGAGTCAGGAGGAACCCCTGAGCATCGCTGGATGTGACCCAAAAAGAAAAAAAAAAGAAATTATCAGAACACCATGACTCACAATGTTACTGATAGTTTGTTGAGTTTTAGACATAACAGTGTTCCAGCTCCACCCCACTACCAGTTCACCCCTCCAACCAGAGTCCCCAGGTTTTCCCCCTCCTCCTAGTAAGCCTGCATCTCGGAAGGCTTTTTAAACTGGGTTGTGAAAAGTTGGGGCCTCCTGTGTACAGCGGTGTTGACTCTGGTTTGGATGTTAAGCTATTCTACGTCTCCACATCTCTGATGTACATGAGTCCCCTTGACATCAGCCCTCTGGTGCTTCCCATCTGTCTCTTCTTCTCCTATCAGTTCCCTTCCTTTTCTGTCCTTCTCTCTATGCTCTGGGGCCAGTGGTGATCCATACATCCCCCTTTGATGCATTGCATTCCTTTTTGCAGTTCCACTTTGCTTCAGTGCTCTGGGAAAGGCCGGTGGAACGGTGTTCTGTATGGCAGGGGTGATGGAATCTGTGCTTTTTATGTACTTCTCAGCTTGGCACATAAAAATTCATAAGGAACTTTCAAGAATGCCCATGCCTGGTCTATTGCATTCCATGCCACTGAGGTCTCTGGGGGCTGCCTACGTTTGGAGTTTGTTGTTGTTGTTTGTTTGTTTTTGCTTTGGGGGTTAAGTTGGCGATGCTCAGTGGTTACTCCTGGCTTTGCACTCAGGAATTACTCCTGGTGGTGCTCAGAGGACCATATGGGATGTTAGAGATTGAACCTGGGTCAGTTGTGTGCAAGGCAAACACCATACACTGTACTATCGCTCCTGCTCCAACCTTGGGTATTAAAAAAAAACTTATTGATGACTTTAATGCATAGTGTGTATGAGGGGGAGGGTTGAGAGTCATGAAACATATAATATCCCCTCATGAGACTGACAGAGAAGGTGTAGGTTTGGGAGCTTATAAGCTTATCCAGGTAGAAACAGGTGACGCCTCATTGCTCAGAGTTTTACTTCTTCTTCTTCTTCTTCTTCTTCTTCTTCTTCTTCTTCTTCTTCTTCTTCTTCTTCTTCTTCTTTTTAATGTAGGAGTACTGCTATTTATTCAGCCACTTATTTATTCAGCCACTTATTAGCTGATTGAATTGGGCATGAACTCCATCTTAGTTCTTTTAAAATTTTTTTTATAATTTTATTTATTGAATCACCATGAGAGCAGTTAAAAAACTTTCGGGTTTAAGTCTCGGTCATACAATGAAACACCCGTACCTTCACCAGTGCCCATTCTCCACCACCAAAAACCACAGTATACCCCCATCCCACACCCTCCCCCTACCTGTGGGGCAGATGATTTCCACATTACTCTCTCTCTACTTTGATTACATTCAATATTTTGACACCAGACCCACCATTATTATTTGGGATTTTACCCCAACACTCAGATCTGCTGAAAAGGCAACAGTAGAAAAATTGTTTTCTATTGCTGGTTATGAATAGCATATGATGTCGCATGGCTGCAGCAGTGGCTGCACGATTTTGAAATTCCAAAATTTTAACAATTAAATCTGGAGGAACTTCTGCCCAAACCTGCTGGGTTCCGAGATTTGTTCCTGAGTCTCTTGGATCATGGCCATTAAGCAGCTTGATCAAGAGCCAGAAAGGCCGTTTGTGGGCGGCGACTCAGGGTCTCATTGGGACGGGGAGGAAAGGGCTGGCTCCCACCCCATCCCGTGAGGCCCCACATGTTTCGTCACTGAGGGCCTAAACCTGACTGTTCAGTGGCCTCTGGCATATGGTGGCCACTGAGCCGCCAAGGGGGAGCAGGTGGAGGGACAGCACCCTTTCTCCCTGGAGTGGCCTGGTGACAGTAACCTACTGTGGGGTAGAGTTTTACTTCTTTAACCAACCTCACTGACTTCATGTAAATGCTTGGGTGCTCACCAGTGATCGCACACTTGTTTTGATGCGGTGCTGATCCACACTCTAGGAATAGTGCTTACTGGTCACAGTGCTCGTGGTCTCATTGGCTCTGGTGTCACATAAGCCAGGCTGGCTGTGGCTACTGTGGAGGTGAAGTACCAGACAGGAGCATCCTAGGAACAAATTTGGCATGTGGGTGGTGCTGGAGATGGAACTCACAGCCTCGTGCTTTTATTTATTTATTTATTTATTTGTATCGAATAAAATAAACTGAGATACAGTTACAAAGCTTTCATGTTTGAGTTTCAGTCATACAATGATCGAACACCCATCCCTCCACCAGTTGCATATCTTCCACCACCAATGTCCCCAGTGTCCCCCGCCCGCATCTCTAACCTCCCCCTGCCTCTGTGGCAGACAATTTCCTTCTTACTCTCTCTCTACTTTGGGGTATTATGGTTTGCAATACAGATACCGAGAGGTTATCGTGTGTGCTCCTTTATCTACTTTCAGCACACATCTCCCATCCCGAACGATCCCTCCAACCATCACTGACTTAGTGATCCCTTGTCTTTCCCAGCTGCCTTCTCCCCTGCTCATGAGGCAGGCTTCCAACTATGGAGCAGTCTTCCTGGCCCTTGTGTCTACTGTCCTTAGGTGTCAGTCTCACATTATGTTATTTTATATTCCACAAAAGAGCCCCGTGCTTTAAGAGCAGGAGAGTTTTGCTCCGAGTCATCTCCGGGGCCCCTATTTTCTTACTTTTCTACTCAGAACTGTCAACTCTCTTCAGCATATAGTTGTACACGTTCCTTCCCAGTAGTCTCCCAGGCAGCTGCTTCAGAAACATTTGCCGTTTGATGGACTTGCTTGTTTTCAGGAAATCTGTCTCTCTCTTCAGAAAAGGTATATTATAGCCCAGAAGGTAATTTGGCGTAAGCAAATATTTCTTCTTATTTCACCGGCAGGCATTTAACTCGACACATCCTTATGCTCTTTATTAGCCAGTTAAAATAAGAGAACATCATCTCTGATGAAGTGAGTAATCCATTTTATTCTTCTCTAGCATCCCTTGAGGGCTTCTTTCCCAGTCTCCCAGTTAGACTCCCCCAGACATTATGCCTCTCTTTCTGCTCTTCACCTCATTTTCTTTATTTCTTCTTCATAGATTTTGGTAAGGCATCATAATTTTTATTGAAATTTATTTAGAAAAATGAGAGAAATAGAGAGGTACATGCTGCAGAGAGAACACAGGCTTCTCAGAGTGGAAAAAAAAACCAACCAAGGAGACAAGCAATTGAGATGTGTGTTTAAGGGAGTGCACAGACTTGAAAAGCAAGTCTCTTTACCTCAGTTTCTTTCTTTTCTCCCTCCCCATCTTTAGGTATTTAATACAGACAGACAGATAAAACAGACACACACACACGCATATGCAAACACATACACCGAGATCCATACAAACACAGAAACACACTGACATATACAGATTGCATACAGATACACACACACCCACAAAAGACTCAGGCATAGACACAAGACACAGACATATACGCAGACAAAGAAACACACACAGATATACATAAAACTACACACAGATATGCAGTCAGACACACACACACACACATATGTATTTCTTTCTTCTGATCACCCCAACCCCACACCCACCCCTGTACATTGGGTTCTATTTTGCTGTCCTGAAAGAATGCTCACATAGGCATTGCTCGAGATATAAGAGCAAGATAATATTTGTGATTTGGTACAATCAATTTAAACAGACACCTTTCAAAAGATCTGTTAATTGGAAGAGACTGGTCTCAACTTTTATGTAAGCAAATCTGGCACTGCTTCAAGGTTTTTTGTTTTCTTTATTTTTTTTTAATTCTGTATAATTTGTTTCTGTGAAAAAAATTATAATATAGAAATAAAATCCTCTTTCACTTTCTTTGAAAACCATTTTTAGGAAAAGGAAGTATCATTTTTTTCTTCCTTATGTCAATAATGTCCCTTAAGAGCATAATTTTTCAATGATGAATAGGTTATCATTTCTCAAGTGTCACACCAAGGAGTGACAAGTGATCTTCCTAGTGACAAATGATTCTGTATCCAGATAGTAACCAATCTTTCGTAAAGCCTGACATACCCAACTCTCAATTTACAATGCTTTACAAATATTTCTTAGAAAGATGGACTCCAAATGATCAGAATCCCAGAGATGCATTTTAATTTGTTTGCAGCAAGAGGAGCTTTACCTTCCCTCCAGGGATTTATCTCAACCAACCATTCAGCACCAAGATTTCCCTAGCAAGTTTGACCTCCGCCCACTCTTCAATGTGCTTCTCCATCAATAATGCCATGTTCATTTGATCATGCCATCGAAGAGTCTTAGACATCTTTTTCAAAGCAGAAACTGACTTCTTATCTTTTTGAAAATTAATTTAAAAGCTTTCATAGAGGTTGAGGTTAGCTGGTTGCAGGAGCTTTGGACGTTTGTGCTTTTGGGGTGCAAAGTGACTGCTCACCACCTATGCCCCAAACACTCACCACCAATGTCACTTCCAGGCCACTTCTTCCTGCCCCACCTCGAGCCCCATAATCCGTCAAGTGGCACCCTCAGTTCAAGTGTTTGCTATCATTAGATACTCCTCTCTCCCTTGCTTTGTGTCCTAAGGTACCATATAAAGAATATGTGACAG